ACTTTACATTAATTTCTCTAATTCACTGCCTTCTAACTGTAATACTTTTTCAACAACTGCTTTTAGTTGCAACATTTTATCATATTTTTCTTGCTGTATTTTTAATTCTTTTTCACATTCTCTCAAACGATTTGGATGATTTTCCATTTCATCTTCCATTTCTTTTAATAAAGCTATAACAGTTTCCCGTTTGTCAAAATCTCTATGACATAGAGGACAGCAAGGATTTGTTTCACTTAATTGCTTCATATATTCTTTATAAGCTGCACTTTGATGAGCATACATTCCTCTTTTGTCTTGAAGATCTTTCACTTTTTTTGATTGTAATAATAATGTCTCATCAAAATTTTTGTAATGACAAATCGATGAAATTTTTTCTTTATCCACTGAAATAGAGAAATGTATTGATAAGAATAAATATATCAATATAAATTTTTAACTATTCACTCTAAACTCACAATTTATTTCTTTCTGTTTATTTTGGAATTCACATTCTATATGTGATATTGTTGTTTCCAACGTAGTTATTTGACGTTCTTCTGTTTGAATTTCTTGATTGATAGATTCCATTTCATTTATCTAGAATTAATAAAATTTAAAAAATTTGTAAACAAACTTTATAACTTTATAAGTTTAATGTTTATCTTAAAATACCAATTGCTTTTGAATCATATCTAAATTAGTTTTTAATTTAGTTTGAGGTAACTTTTTAATATCAAGTAAAGTAACTATTTCTTTCTCATGTTTGTCCCTTAATTTTCCTATTTCCTGTTTTTTAGAAAGTAATGTAGATTTATTTAATTCTAATTCAGCTTGTAATGCACTTTGTTTCAATAATGAAGCTATTTCTTCATCAACTTTATTTAGAAGTGTTTCCATTTCATTTCGAATCTTAGTTTTAGCAACAATTTCTTCTTTCATAACATTTACATCCATTTCTTTATTTAGTTGCTGAATTTTTTTCTGTACTTCATGTATTTTTGATTCAATAGAATTTAATTTTTTTGCTGCTGTATCCAGCTGGAAATAAAAAATCATAAATAAATTTAGTATAAAAATAACGATTTTAAGTAGTTTTTAGTATAAAAGTGACAAGTTTAAGAAAAATGTACAACCTGCACAATATCACTTTTTATTTTATTAATTTCTTCTCTTATTTCAATTACTTCATTTTCTTTAAGATTTTTTTCTGATTCTATTTTTGAATATTTATTACGTGAAATATCTACTGTTTTTTGCAATTCTTTTTCTTTTTCCTCTCTTTCCAGTTTTTTCTGTCCTACTTCATTCCGTAATTTTTCCATTTTTTCGGCCATTCTGTTGGTAAGAACCATTACCTCTAAAAAATTTTCGATCTTTCATAAACATATTTTTTACATAAATATATGTGTAAACTTAAAAAAATATTTTTTAATATCTTTTTAGATTCAAACCTATTTCTGATACATTTAAATCAACGTTTTCAAGACCCCAAGAAAATAGCGCATCATTTAATAATTTATTACGAAGATTAATTTTTTTCTCTTGATCTTTCATTTGTTGTCTTAAAGAACCATTGGATACTCTTTCATTAGCTAAATTATTTGATATACTAGATTCTTTTCCACCAATATTGTTTAACTTCTTCTCGAGCTAAATTTTACAGAAAAAGTTCACTCAATATTTTCAATATTATTTGTTTAACATTAAATAGTAATACCTTTTCTATTTTAGCAGTTTGTCTTATTGATTTTTCATCATATGATTCTATCTCTTTTAATAATTCTTCCATGGTTCCTTCAAATACATATTGTAAATCTTCTTCTAATCTATCCAATTGCTGTCTGAACATGTCATATTCTGCTTTTTTTCTTTCTGAAAATATCAAATAAAAAAATCATGATGATGTCACAAAAATGTTAATCATGAAAAAATTATTATTAATATTCATCAAAACGTTACTTTCTTCATTTTGTAGATTTTTATAATCAGCATCTAATTTTTCAAATTTTTTTATTTTTTGCAACATAGGTTCTAATTCTTTATTAAGTTCCTCGATTTTGGATTTGGAATGTTCCAATCGGTTTTTATTATCTTCAAGTTTTGTTTCTTTATCTATTACATCATTAACAATAAGTCGACAATTCTGTTTCTGCTCTTTCAATATATGCATAGTTTGATTCATATTTTTAATTTGTTTCATGATACTTTCAAGAGCTTTATTAAATCTTGCACTATCAAAAATCTCATCAAATTTTTCCTTTAATTTTTTACCATCTTGGAAAGGCCAATTAAGATCTTCTTGGTGACAGAATATCACATAATCTAAAATAGGTTTTGAAACTCCCATAGCTAACGTAAGTTCTGTATCAACATTAGCACATCGATTCGTTATTGATACTACCTATATAAATAAAGAAATTGTTAAAAATTCTGAAAGTTATATGTAAATTACATGTAGATATATGTTGTATTTAAAACATTCTAATTCTATCAATGTAATTTATATTCATAAAGAACATACCTCTTTTGTACCTTTCATCACTCTGCTTAAAGCACTATCAAGAGTTTTAAATTTCATTGTTATGTTTGCTTTTGTTGATTCTATTGTTCTAGATATTATATATAGATTACCTGCTGCATCAATTATTTCAGCTTTTACAACACCTCGAACCTATTCAAAAAAAGAAGAATTATTTATGAAAATATTTTTAGACTTAATGACTCATAATGACTCGACTTTTAACTATTAACTAACATTAATTTTGAATATAATAGGACTAAGGTTTCAATGTAGAGAAATTATAATGTAATATATAATGAATATCATGTTATGTACCGAGGAAGTTGCTGATAGAACTGGATCGTGAATGAAAGATTTCCCTCGCTCTGAACCAGGTGGAAATTCACCACAAGTAGCGAATTTGAGGGCCTCGATAATTGTCGTTTTTCCAGTGCCATTTGGTCCAAGAATAAGTGTCAAAGGCCGAGAAAATCGTATCATAGCTTCATCGTTTGTATCGCCAAAATTGCGAATGCCACGAATAGAAAGCCTTCTTATTCGTGACATCGTTGAAAATGTACGAATTTAGCTTGATTATTACAGAATAATTTAATACGATAAACTGAAACAATAAACTGAAACAATAAACTGAAACAATAAACGGTTAGCTTGCTCTTATTCTATGAATAATGAAACTGACTCTGACTTCGAATTCGCGCGTATTATTACCACAGTACATGCTGTATAGTTTGTAAAGTCAACATGAAATAAAATAGTTAAGATAAGAAAGTTAAATTTTAATTCTATATAGAAGAGTGTTATCTTTCAAATTTCAAAATAAATATATTAAATATATGTGTATATATATATATATATTAAATAAATATATATATTAAATATTGCAACTGTTAAAACAATAATTAAAATAAATTTAAAGTTTCAAAAATTATAAACAAATATAAATTTCATGTATAAATTTTCCGTAAATTCACGGAAAATCACTATAGTTATACTACGTCATATATATAAGTACATCAGGATGTAAATAAATCATAGATCAATTATTTTCCAAAATTTAAAAAATCTTAAAGTTTAAAAATATAACAAAAGTGAAATTATTAAGAACTATTTGAGAAAAAATTAAAATTAAAATGATATGATAAATTTGGCAATCTTACTTGCTTATTGCAGAATAATTGTTGAGTGATGTGCTGAAAGTATTGCAAAGTAATTGTTGAGTGATGTACATGGGTTAGGTTTTACAAAAACATAACCATGTACTTAATTTTTAGCCATACAATGCACAACATAACATCAATTTTGTGTTCATTGAAAAACGTAAATAAGACGTTTCCTTTAACTTTTAGTCCAAAAATATACAATAAACATTACAATTATTTTAGTCAGTTACGTACAATATCGCAAAATGCATGGAAGGTTTTATTTTTTGGTACAGATGAATTTGCTGTCGAAAGTTTAAAAATCTTGTATAATAAACAGTAAGAACAATATTGTTATTTTTATATTATAAATTCTTCATTTATTTTAAATAAATTTAAAAACATATATATATACATTTTTATATACAGTAAATTTAAAGAACTGCAGCGACTAGAAATTGTTACTGTTAATCAAAAAAGAGATAATCCTGTTACAAAATATGCAAAACAAAATGAAATTATTGTAAATAAATGGCCAATTGAAGTTAATAAATCAGAGTTTCACATTGGAGTAGTTGTTTCATTTGGTCACTTAATTCCATCCAAAATCATAAATGCATTTCCATTGTAAGTTATCTTCTTTAAATATAAAATTTCAGATTTATTTATACATTAGTGTTTTATGTATTAATACATAATTTATAATTTATTATTCTTTTTTATAGAGGTATGATAAATGTACATGGTAGTTTATTACCCAGATGGAGAGGAGCAGCTCCAATAATTCATACATTAATAAATGGAGATTCACAAACTGGAGTCACGATAATGAAAATAATGCCAAAAAAGTAAAATTTTTATTCAATTCTAAATATTTAAAAATTGTATCATATAATATGAACAGAGTTTATATCAGAAGAATATAAAAGAAGAATAAAATGCAAATTAATATATATTTATAAAATGAATTAAATATTATTTCAGATTTGATGTAGGAGAAATAATATTGCAAAAGCAAATAAATATTGATGAACATGAAACTATGCCAGATTTATATACAAAATTAGCAAAACTTGGTGCAAATCTTTTAGAAGAATTATTTGGAAATTTATTAGAATTATTGCAATCTGCAAGACCTCAAAATGAAGAAAATGTAACATATGGTAAATGCATAAAGTAAATAATTGTTTTCTTTAAAAGTTTTCTTATTGCAGATATTAACTTATTTTTTAAAATTCAGATTAAATAGAATAAATGTCTAATATAATAATAAATTATTATGTTTTTAAGAAGAAAAGCAAATCTCACTGTATTTGCAATAATTTCAAAGAATAGTTTTTAAATTATAGTTTATAAATTATTAATCAACATTTATTTTCAGCACCGAAAGTAACATCAAATATATCTTTAGTTAATTGGAATGAAATGTCTGCAACAAATGTTTATAACTTGCATCGTGCTCTTTTCGGTTTATATGCCTTAACTACTTCATATCAAAATGTAAAAGTAAAATTATTTGATATTCAGAAAATTAAATCAGAATCAATAGTAACACAATTTGAAGGAGAAAAACCAGGTAAATTTATAATTTTATATATACTATTTGATATAAAGACATAATTTGCAATATATTTGCAATAAAATATTTATAGTAATAAATAATTAAATTGTTACTAATATAAATATATATTCATCAATATTTTGTGTTTATAGGAATTGTAATATATAATAAAAAGAATAAGGTATTGATTATAAAATGTAAAGAAAATACTTTTGTTTCTGCAAAGAAAATAACTGTACAGGGTAAATGCACCATGAGTGCTCTTGATTTTTATAATGGTTTTATGTCTGGAAAAAATAAGACAAAAATATTGTTTGCTTTACTATAATTTTTGAAATTGATATTGATTTATTTTTAATGTAAATATAATATAAATCATTTGTAATATAAAAAGTAATTACACAATTGCATACACTATTGCAAAACAAATTTGTTTCAAGATCTTTAAAAGAACATATATTGATAGTTACTAAATTAAATTGTATATGAATTATAAATATCAAAAAAGACTCTAAAATTGTATATTTCAATTGTTTCTTACCTTTGTAAATACATATGTAGGATTCTTGATAAATATTATGTACATGCACACACATACATATGTACATATATACGTATGTAAAAATAAAAGCAGAAGACATATCTACATATCCACATATTATATTTAGAAATAAAAATATAAAATTAGACAGAATAATCCATTGAAAATAAATACTGAAAACTTCATTGAACATATAGAGGAATTTTAATATATATTTAAAAGTGAAATTTGCAATATGTATTTTCAAGAGATTTTTATAATTAGAGGAAAAATTTTATCTATACTCTGTATATTTTACAAAAAACAATGACATTCAATGTCTTAATTTATTTGAACGTAGAATTAGAGCTGCAGACATAAAATTGTTGATATTAAGTCTCAGAATCAGAGGCCTGAAATGAAAGAAATATTTTTACTATTACAGGTTCTTTCTTTTATTGAATTAAATTAGCTTCAAGATATATTCCTAGTGACAATTTTAGATCAAAGATAAAAGTATCCATAAATAAGTTTTAGCCTAATTTGTTGCTTTGGCTGCTTCGAAATTATACGAAGTGTAGGTGTTGAATGAATTATCCATCTTTTATGAAGAATTGTTCCCATTTTCTTACAAAAGTGAGATTTTAAGTTTTTTTTTTTCGTATTAATAACTAATTGCCATTCGATATTTCGTAAATGGAACGTTGTATTTGATTATTCAATAAATAAAGATGGCACAGCTTTTACTGAAAATAATTAGTTAATGTTAGCAACTAGTTATTAATAAGACTGTTTGTTCTATTTATTTTTAAATTATTGAAAGAGTTAATAATTTACAAACACTAAACATTAAAGTACTTTATATTTTGTCACATATTCATACTATCGAGATATTATTCTGAAAATTAAGGTTCATTATCTGTAAATTTATTTTGGTTTGTTTTTTTTAATATCGACTAAATAAAAAGTACCTTAACAATATATTTTAGGTTAATATTGCAATAAATGCAAACAATAAAACTTTATTAACTTACACTAGGATCGCAGTCCGCACAATGCCACGAATAGCCTCTTCTTTTGGGTGATTTTTTAACTGGTGGATCAAGACAGGTGAAGTGGTAGCATTTTTTACATTCATCACACCTGAGATATGAAAAAGAATAAAATCATATATTCAAAATTTATATAAGAAGTAAATATTTTGATATATTTATATAAACTAACATGACGAGATTTTGGCTGGTACCAGGCATGTTACAAACATTACAATGTGTCAAAAGGTCTGTATCTTTTCCCCTTTTTCCATTTCCTGTGGATGTTCTACTACTTGTATTATTAGTGGACATATTCGCTGTTACAGATGTAGCATTTGAAGACAAGGGTGCAACAGGTGGAGGTGGTGGTAGTTTAGGTAATGGCGGTGGTGATGTAATTTCGGTACTAGTAGATGTGGCAACAAACATTTGAGGACTTGATTCTGATGCAACATCTCCTTCTGGTCTTGGAATTGGCTTTATCTATTTAATAAAATAATTATGAGGTATGTATATGCATATATACGCGCACAGCGATATAATGAATGATATATGATGAATAGTAATATACCTTTATTGTGATTCTTCTATGAATTTCTGGTTGACTTTGTCCTTCAGGATTTTCCACATCAAGACTTTTTCTCTTATGTTTACGTTTCCTTTGTTTTATACCCGTAATTGGATCAGGAGTATATCTTTTATGTTTTTCCCTAATAAAATTTAAAAAAATATATTTCATATTTGTGTAAAATATGTCTTATATACCTTCTCCTTTTTTTTGCACTTCTTTGTGAAACAGATTCTGTCCCGTCTGCTGGAGCTACCATATATTCAGGTGAACCTTCTCTCGTTATTGTCAGATTATTAATTGGTTGTTGATTATATACTGACTCGTTTGATTGAATGGGAGTAGAAGACGGAGGTTGTGGTCCAACTGGTTTTATAGTTACCTATATATGATATCATGTAAGATATTTAGATAATAAAAAAAATAAAAATATAAAATAAACATTTTTTCGAAAATACATTCAACAATATTTACTTTTGGTGTTGTAGGTGTATCAGGTGTAGTTGCATTTGTTATACTATTAAGATTAGCGGAGGAATTTTTTGATGTACTAGGTGTTGTTGGCGTTGTAGGTATTTGTACTTCTTGTGGTGGCGTTGGTGTTGAAGTTAAATTCGAGTCATCTTTACAGTGTCTCAATTTACGTGGAGCTGAAGTATCAACACGTTCAACTTCTGACCCAGAAGATTCTTTATCGCATTCAGAACATTGCCTACGTTGAAAGATATTGTATGTTATATTTGTACAATAAATATATTAGATAAATAAGAAATAGATATATAATAGATACATACCATCCCATAAGTTTTGTTTTCTTAGGCATACGTGATAAAGGTGGACTAAGACAAGATAAATGGTAATGAAGATGACATGTGTCACATTTTGCAAGTAGGTGTTGATTTGTGGATCTTCTACATATTCCACATTGATGCCTTAATGTCAATTCGCCTTTGTGATTTTGATCTTGTGCCTGACTGCTTAACACTCTACCTTCACGTACTCCTTCTGTTCCTTTACCAACAGGTAAAGGAAAACCAACACCCATTTTCAAAGCAGCTGCAGTAGGTACTCCTAAACCTGTACCTATATTGAAAAATCATGATATACTTGTTTTTAATATATTTGAGATCTAACTTACCCAATGTTGGTGCTATTCTTGGTTTTGCTAAATCAGTTATTTGTGGAAGAGGTTTCATGTAACCACTACTCTGAAGCACTTGGTGATACATTTCTATTTTTTCCTTTAACGTTACATTTACTCGAATTTGTTCTTCATTATCTTTCATTACTTCATCATATCTTCTATCTAATCTCTGTTGCTCGTTAAGCAATTGAGAATTAATATCAAGAAGTTCTTGTAGTCGTCTTTTCATAGACGTGACTCGCAAATTGCGATCCAAATAATAACCAATGAATTCTACACTAAAAGCAGGCGGAATATGCCATTTCTTTCTAACATCGACCAAAGCTACAAGTTGTGCTTCTTGAGCTTCCAATGCAGCAGTATCAACACCCATGAGTTCAGCTTTTCTCGCTAATTGCCGGCAAGCCGAAGCTGAAGTGGTTAATAATCGAGGCATTTTTTGTGTTGGAACTAAAAATAATTCATAAATATTTTATGTAATATTTTATACATAATTACCATACGTAATTAATTAACGTACCCCATGGTGGTGGTCTAGATGCTTTATGAGCTAAATATTTATGTCTATGTTTTGCTAATTTTCTTTGTATTCTACGCTGTTCTTCAGTGTCTAAATGATTAGGTTGTTTTAATAATTGTTGTCGGTATTGAGCTCGTAATTGTAAGGCTAACCAATTACGTCTACGTCTGCGAACAAGTGTTTTATCAGAATGAAGTTTACAATGTGCATAGAAAGGATCAGCCTGATCAACTTCTTCACTATGAGCTTCAGATAACAGACCTTCTCTTTGTGCACTACAAAAAACAAAATATTATATCTTTTAACAAAAATTTATATTTTGTTTTCATTTATATCAAGTAGCTTACTTATACGAATTTAATTCTTACCAAGTGACATGAAAATATGTATGACACATTCCTGCATCACATTCTATGCATACACCAGTTCGAGCAAAACGTGCATCTTCACATAAAGAACATTGTTTTGCTCCCCATTTACTATAAGCCATTTCAAAGAGTGTGACACTTGATAAACGATCAACCTAAAATAAACACACACACATATATATATATTTAAAGATATTTTTAGCTTGTATTGATGAAAATTAAAACTGCATACTTCTCCAAAAGCAACACCAGGTACATAAAGTGCACATACTAAATGTACCCATTTGCCTACATCAGTCTCTTTAAAAATTCCACCTTTATTAGGGCAAAGCTCACACGAAGGATCTTCAATACCTGCACTGCAAGCTTCACAAAACCATGGTGCTGACTGACATAAAGAATCAGTACTTGAAAAACTTTCTACATCTGATACACCATAACAACCTTAAATAAATTTAATTTAAAAATTAAAAATAAATATTTATATCTGTTATTTATTGATGCATATTTATAATTATAAATTAAATTTAAATTATAAAGTTATATATAAATTAAAAAGTTCAAAATTTTTACCTTCGTGCACGCTAACTCCACATCCATCACATTCAACAATTTCATTAACATCATCGCTTCTATCTCCTAAGCAACCACAACAAATTAACATTTTATTTAATTTATCTTCAATTGAACCACCTTTTAATGCTTGTTGTCTAGCTTGTTCAATTATATCTCCCACAGTTAAACTAGGATTTTCCTTTTTATTTAGTAATGGGTCTTCCAAAGAATCATCTGATTGGCCTGATACATCCTCCTCTTTCATAAAAATAAACAATTTCATATTAATTAATTTTAGAACATATATTGACAATTTTATATTTAAAAATTATTGTACTGATGACTATGACAGTGGCCTAGGTAGTCTCTGTTTCGAGACATTCAAAATTTTACAGTTACATGAGCACAAAAATATAGACAACCCCATCAAACAGTTGAACTTTCTGTTATTTTCCTAAATTAACTTTACAATATTGTAATTTAAACGCATTCAACAAAATATAGAAAATAAATCCATCTTTTCACATTTTTAACTTAGACCACTTTCATAATTACCAACATAATGCCTGTGATTATGAAAGTGGCCTAAATTATGTATTATATGTTTCAAGATACTTGTTTTGCATTTATATGTACAACAAAATATAATACCAATTTGATAATTGAATTTTCTATAATTTTTCTAAATTAACTTCACAATATTGTAATTTGAATGCATTCAACAAAAAATATGGAATAATAAATCCATTTTTTCATATTTTTAACTCGGGCCACTTTCATAATTACAGGCAAAGTGCTGGTGATTATAAAAGTGGCCTAGGTTATGTATTCTTTGTTTCAAGATATTTAAGGTTTTGAATTTACATGTACAAAGCCAATACTAACCTAATATGACAGTTGACTTTTCCGTGATTTTCCTAAATTTCACAATATTAATATAATTATTTATATTAATAAAATTTCACAATATTAATATAATATAATTATATAATTTGAATGCATTCAATAAAAAATATGGAACAAATCCATTTCGTCATATTTTTAATTTGGGCCACTTTCATAATTACCGGCAAAGTGCCGATGATTATGAAAGTGGCCTAAGTAATATATTTTTTGTTTCAAGATACTTATATTGATTTTGCATTTACATGTATAAAAAAAATGTAAATGCGATCTGATGTTATAATTAAATTTTTTGAGATGTTTTTAAACTAACTTCACAATATTGTAATTTGAATGCACTCAATAAAAAAATATGGAACAAATCCATTTTTTTATATTTTTAACTATTTTAGACTTAGACCACTTTCATAATTACCGGCATAGTGCCTGTGATTATGAAAGTGGCCTAAATTATATATTTTTGGTTTCAAAACATTTAAAGTTTTGCGTTTGTATGTACAACGAAATATAATACAAACCCAATTTGATGATTGAATTTTCTATAATTTTTCTAAATTAATTTCACAATATTGTAATTTGAATGCGTTCAACACAAAATATAAAATAAATCCATTTTTTTATATTTTTGATTTAGACCACTTTCATAATTACTGGCACAATATATTTTACCTTTTCCAATATCATTAGAATCAACTGAATCATCATCAGATTCTTCACAATGATCCTCAATTCTAAAATCACTGTCATCAGAGCTTTCACCTAAATCAAAATCAAGTAAAGATTGTGCTGATCCTACAGGCTTAACCCTCCTCTTTTTTGGATCCCTTTCAACTAAAAAGAATTATCTTATATAATTATTTATTATTTATTTCTTAAAAGTTTAATCAAAAGGAATAAAGTACAACAATAAAAATTTTTCTATCAACAACATACTTAATCCAAGGGATATGCACTCCCAAAAAGGTACAAAAAATTAATTTTAGGTTATGTATGTACTTAATTCACGATAAATACGTACAAATGCTAGTCATATTAATCTTAAAGCAACACTCTGCTTAATTTCTGTAGCAATATTTAATATTTTCTTTCACATGAAAGAGTTTTATTTCTGTCTTAGAGATTTTTATACATTCCTATACCGCTACACAATTTTTAAATGTCTCCCACTATGCAGCGAACTTATCAATTCGTCATTATAAAATACTGACGTATGCGTAATGTACGACGCCGGTTTGTGTATTATAATAACGTTCTTGTATATTCTTTTATATATTCTTCTATTGTGTTTTAAATAAACTATTATTAAAAGTATTAATTATTTTTTGAAAATGTAATAAAGATTCTTACATTATTATAATATTTTGAAGAAAAGATATTCATTAATGTTCATTAAATCCAGAATTAATAAAATTATAAAATATGTTATTCTAAATTTCATTTTACATATCAATTAAACTAGATTATTATGTTTATTTTAATTATGCATATATATTTAAATGATTAGTTATACATAAAATAAAAATGTACACAAATTTTATACAATATTATATTATTAATTGATTTTGTTTATATCCATAGTCATTATTCTATTTATATTCATATTATGAGAGGCAGAGAGAGAAAGAGAGAGAGAGAGAGAATTGCAATTAAAATTTAAAAATTTAAAAAAAAATTGAAACATTTGAATTTCAGTAATATATATTATAAAAAAAACACTTATTTATTTTTTGTTTATTACATTAAATATTTTAACAAATAAGTTCCTCAACTTACTCATTGTTTTATATAAAAATCCTACATCGTCGTCCTGAGACATTCTTGGCACAAGTTTTTTTCACCTTAGTAATATGTATAAAACTTAATAACTTCTTTAAATATATTACTATTAATATATAAAAATTAAAAGCTTGTGATATACATAATAATTCTGTATCATTGTAATATGCATATTAATTCATATTTATATTTCAGAAGTCTCTTGATGAATTATTTAACTATTATATAAAGATGTAAAGAAACTTCCTTCGATAATGTTATCCTTCTGACGCTGTGTTTCTACTCGTATCAGAAACCAATCGCCATATTGAATCTCAAAATCCTTCAGCGGGAAGTACAATTAATCTAAATTTAACTAATTATTTATTTGCAACGTACATCATTAAATATATTAGATGTTAAGTATTGAAATCAAATTTTATTTATTTATTATTAAATTTTCTTTAATTAATTATATACAGGCAACAAATATAATATATGTCTAATATTTTTAAAATTTTTATAAAATTTATAATACATGTATAATATATGTAACAATATTTTTAATAACATAATTAAACAAATAAATAGAGATATTTTTACTCATTCTCACATACAACAAGTACTACTGTTTAGATATTTTACAGATCTATTCATCTTTCAATTTTTCGAAAATTTATAGACATATTAAGTGTATAATGTATAACATTACATCGAAACGAATTCTTTAATTTAAATGTAGTGAATTTTATAACTATCTTTTGATACAAGATAAAGCATTATTCGCACACTTATATAATTAAATCAATAATAAGAATTGTTTAATATAATAAGAGGAATTTACAAGTACAAATAATAAATTTTTCTATTGGCGACATTGCAAACATAAATGTAAATCATACAGAAATCTGACATTTGAGAAAAGGTATTAACGTTGAAATAAATTTAAATTTGTGTAGAATATTAATTAATTATAATAATAAAATAATTAATATCAGATTGTAATGCATCTTATATTAACTTTTGGATTCTCAATTTCGATTAAATCCAATTCAAATCATGAAAATGATAAAAATACAAATAAAGACAAGGTTAAAAAGCGAGAAGTACGGCAGCGTAGCAAAGAAAAAGAAATAAGTAAGAATGAATTTGAAATTACACAATCTTTGAAAAATGTTATACATGTAGGTCAAATATTAGCTGAAATACATGTGGAATA